TTCTGATGTGCCATGCCATTTTTTCTTTTCCATGGAACATGTGATTCCTAAACAATTTACGTGCACTAAAGGATGCTGTACTCTTTTTTTTTTTTGATAGTGAAGAATTTTAAAAAAGGGAAACATAGGTATAAAACTTAAATTTTAAGTGTTTAAGTACTTTTTTCATTTAAAAGACTAATAAATTACTACATGCTTGACAAAGGATGATGTATTTTAGCCACAAATTCGTTTGATATTTGACAATTTATAGGGGACGAGTTGAATCTAAAATCTTATTAAATTTTTGCATCAAATATGAGATTGAGATTATATATTTTTTTAGATAAGTATTTTTTTGATTATTGTCTTTAAAATATAAAAATATGTTGTATAATTTAAATTATTAAATAAAAACAAATTTCTCAACATTAAAAATTATTTTTTTATTTAATGACTTCTATTTTATCAAACAATATTATTCATATTACAAAAAATTTATTGTTTTATTATTTAAACTGTTTTAAATTATAAAATAAAAATGTTTAGTAAAAAATTTATTTTTAATTTAAAAATTATTATTTTATAATTTAAATAATAAAATATTTTTTTTTATTATAAAACAAAAAATCTTTAGAATATTGACTTGAGAGGCGAATTAAGTCCGTCCGTACCCCGTTTTACAACGTTTTGGTCTTCTGACCAAGTGCAATTAATAGTTTTGTCAGATAAAGGAAAACATCCTTTTGATAGCTATAAAGTAATGAAACAGATTTTAATTATTTCATGTCACAAATGCTACAGAACCTATGAAATTTTAATTATTTATACAATCAAAATTTTATAAGGTTTTTGACTCAATAGTTGGTTTTCAAACCTTAAATATTTAAGTATAATTAATCAAAAATTTAACATTTATCAATACTTAAAAATAAATATTTCTATCTCCAAATTTTCCCATGTTCAAAAGAAAAAAAAAAACAAAATCTACAAAGTAAGAATAAACTAATTCATGGTCAGAGTTAGTGATACTATTCCGTTGCCTATTTTCAAAACAATTCATGGTCAGAAAAGTGATTGAAGCAAAAATACTACGGCTATTTAATTGCTGCGAATTGACTTTGGCTGCAACTTTAAAACTTGAATTGTATCAGTCCAATGAATAGTAGTAGTAATATTTTCCACAGAGACCAGCTGATATGAAATTTGAGTAAACACTATACATGTGCAATGCCTTTTTTTTCTGATGAAAAGACATTACATGTGTAATGCATTTTGCAGACTACACACTAACGCGTGGATGCATGTAGAGGTATATATTTATATTTTATTTTCATCATTTATATAGGAGTTTTTTTTAATAAAAGATAATAGTTAAAATAGTTTATCAAGAGTACTATAAAAAATAATATAGCATTATTTTTTTTAATATATTTTGCAAGGGGTGGGTTTCGAATCCTGTCCGGGAGAATACACCGATGGTTAATGTCATTAGGCCTCAAGGGCCAGGTGCAATATAACATTATTTTTAGTTATTAATAAAAAGGTATATTTATATTAAAACTATACTTCTCTATCAATATATAATTATAATAGCGTACTTGGCCCTTGCGGCCTAATGGCAATAGCCACCTTAGTGCATTCTCCCCTTCTTGGGCTGGGTTCGAAACCCGCCCCTTGCATATATATTCAAAAAAAAATATATATATAATTATAATAGCAGAAAACACTTAAATTTTGATAAAAAAAAAAAAATTATATCAGACAATCATGAGTCTGCTGTTTTTTATTAAGAGAAACAATGGTACAATTTATTCCCAAAATTAGGCAGTATTTGGATATGTCAAGTACTACTAATTAATTAAGTGTAATTTGGATGGGTACCCTCTCAAATCCCGGTGATTAAATAATAATAATAATAATAATAATAATAATAATAAAACACACACAAAACCCTCCAAAATCTAAGGCTAACGTAATTGAAAGTGCATGATACGGTAGGTGGGTCCAATGGACTTGGAAAAGGCTCATCACCATTTTATCACACAAAGCAACTGAGATCGGCTAACTATATATGTAGCTTGCAGGGGAAGAAATTTGGAAGAGACGACAATCTCGTTTTGTTTATTTATGTTGGTCAAACACTTGGACCATGCTCAACACAAATAACACAATAGTATATAATTAGCTCTATGCCCTATCCATTGCTTTCTCTTCCCTTTCAAATAATAGCAAACGAATTGCTGTCCATTTCTTCCTCAACCAATATCATTGTGATTTTATATGCCGAAAAGATGCCTCAATTGATAAAATTTTTTTAAAATAAAATATTGTGAGATGGAAATTAAGAAGAGTCTATTTAAATTAACTGTTATTTTAACTTTTTACATTTTAACTTAAATTAAACATATTATTGAATAGAGGAAGTAAAACAATTTTGGGTTATTTAAATGAGCATATAAACAAACATATATATATATATAGCCTTACTCCTTAAAAATTAAAAAGGAAATTACTTTAAAATTATGTTGTTTTAATAATATATTATGAAAAATGATAAAAAAATATTTTAACTTATACTTTAAAAATAAGATATTATTTAAGTATGGAAATAGTGCCTATCAACTTTACGTCTTAAAGATTAGGAGGAAAATTATCCCAAAATTACGTCATTTCAATAAATTTTTATTAAAAAAGACTAAACTACAATATTTTTAAAGCATCTATTAAGGTGATTTTTGTCATTTTTCTTCCTAATTTTTTAGAAATAAGACGGATAAGCACTAATCTCTTTAAATATTTTTTTAAGTGAGTTTATTAAAACGATATAATTTTAAAATAATTTTCATAATAAAAGATAATTTTCCCTCACTCTTTAACCCACCTATTTATATGTCATACAATTTAAATTTAAAATCTTTTATTACTAACAAAAAGAAATTACTGCTAAATTATTTAAATCGTTGACAACAACAAATTTATTTGTTGCTGCATTCGTGAGAAAATGGATGGAGCTCGGTTTTTGCTAGTGGGATTACCAATCCTCCTGTTTTGCTCGGACGATGTGAGCCTCTACAAACCGCGGCAACCTCCCAAGCCCATAAACAGCCATCACTCTCTTCCTCAATTTTTCCATTTAAAATCACAGTCTAGTCTTCAACAAGCCCTTGAATTCACAACCAAGGTTCGCATGTACATGCATGAGAGAATTGATTTATGGATGCACATATGCATGCATGATATGTACATGTATGTCCATGTGCATGCATGCGGGGGTATGTGCTCTCTTCTCATTGTTTTAATGATGCATGGAAAAAATGCAGAAAACGAACAGCAATATCCTGGGACAATGGATTGGCAGTATATATATATCAACATCAACTTCTGCCTACCTTGCTCTTAAAGTCTTGATTATGATGAATTTATTTATTTATTTTTTCAAAACCGATATTAATTTACTGACCAAATTATTTGATATAATTGTGTCAAAGGGGATTATTACTTGAATTTTGAATCTAGTTTAATAATAGAGATACGGTTACTCTTAACAAGCTATTCATTCACAATCTTATTTTATAATAATTCATCCTAAATCTATGTACTAGCCATTTTCAAAATCATGACTTCATACAATTGTGATGTTTTTGGCAGAGGAACTACCGTAACCATGGAAAAACATGCTTGGAACGTCATTCCCAGGAATCATTGTCGTTTTGGCAAACCACCCTCCTACACTCCCAAAACGCCTACTGAGCAGGGTGGTGCCATTTTCCAAGTAGGACTAGGCTAATGGGGATAATCATGGCATTGGGAAAAGATTTTCCCAATACTTGGAATCATGACCCCACCAACTTGGTACCTTCCCTTGGGTTCAAATAGGTTTGGAAGTATTGCAAACGTTTGGCTTCTCGGAAACTTCCTCCATGCTTTCCTGGTGCTTTTGAAGTTTACTGCAATAGTGAACTGGAAAAGAACATGCATAAATAAATATAGCCTTCGACATTCTTTCTATATTTGGTTGAGAAGAAATATATCAAATGTTTCCAGTTGTTCTTACGGTTCTTTTTTGAATGTAGGTGTTTCCTAGGTTAATGGAACTCAGGTTTCCTAATGAAATTGAGCTAAGGGATCTTGATGGCAGAGGCTTTCCTAATATATCAAATTCAAGAGTTGTTGATGGCATTGGAGGAAGTTTATGGTCGCAGATCGTACATAAAAGATGAAGGTTTTGCTTAATTTCCTTCTTCCTTTCATTCTTTGGTAGATTTTAGAGAATAAACTTTCTTCTTTTTGTAAACTTATTTGCATGTTTATGTAGATAATCTGTCTGCATGTAATCTGTTAGCTGCTCTGTTTTTGGCTGAAACATGTTTATCGGCATGGAAGAACTGAAAATTATGATTTAGAACATATGAATAAGTCACATTAATACATTCATTCTGAAACCATATATAATCAATTTCATCAACAAATGCTCCACACAACCTTGTTTCCCGAACAAGGCCCCAAAAACCAAATCTTGATTCACAAAGTAATTTCATTTTCAACATCTAGTATAACAGTAATTACATTACATGGAAGAGAGTGAACTTATCTTCTCAGCACCTTGGAAGACCACTGATGTGTGACCATAACCTCTCGTGCTAAGTTGCTCTTTTGCCTGCCCTCATATGTGCCACCACTTCCGATTTTCCATTGTTTTGACTAGCTCATTTGCCAATGATGCAAAGTCTTCAGCTCCACTTTGCAGCTCTTCAGTGCGCCTACTGATTCTCTGATACAAAAGAAAACAGAAACAGAGTTAATTTAGGGGAGGTTAGTAAACATATGATATTTTGATAGTTTCAAAATCTGAAAGGTTGAGGTATATCAACTAAGTAGGTGATGTAATTGTGGAAAAACTGTCATCAGTTAAGCAGCCTATCTTAACCCTAAATCAAACATTTACTAATCTCGTTATTGTTAGTTTCTAGTTATCCATGAAAACAGAAATGATTTCTATTGAAGTCTTTTTTACCTCCAGCTTTTCCTGCCTCTCCACTAGTTTGTTTCTCGCATCTGCAGCTGCTGAAGAGGCATCCTGCAACATAGATAAAAAATTGGTTGTTCAATGAGCTGCTACTCTGCCAAAAATGGTTTGACAAACATTCCATTATAAGACTTTACCGTGGCTTTTCTGTACTTAGCAATAATTTCTTGCGGTGTTCTAATCCTAGGCTTCGTGTCATCTGGCACTCCTAACAGTTTTTCCCTATCTGTTTCCTTCTCTGCAGTACAGAAAGAATATTCCATCAATCATTGAACACAAGTATAATAGATAAAAGCAAACATTGGGTATGCCAGGTTTACCTCCTTTTGTTTTTACAAATTCATGAGATGAACTGGCCACAAGTGGAGTTTCATCTATTTCTATGTCATCTGGAGACAAGTAAAGCAATGCTTGTCAAAGTAAAGCAATGCTTGTCAGAGAAAACTCAATGAAGAAGAAAGATTTGGAAGTAGAAATAGACAGAACCTATACTGAGCTCCTCCACTTCCTGACTATTTGCAACAGTTGGGAACGTCTGTGAGAAGGAAGGCTTAAGAAATATGCCCTCTAAATGAGAGAAATCGGATTCAGCTTTTGTGGTACTATTCACTTTCCCCCCTTTGAGTCCTTTAACCATACCACCAAGAATTCCAGATGCAGAACCCTACAGTAGCATGATAAGCTGTATAAGGAAAACCACAAGTTTTCATAACCAAGAACCAAAAATAGAAATTTCTTTGCACCTGTTTTTTATTCTGATTTGATGAGACAGTGATGGCAGCCTCAGCAGCAGCTGCAAGAACGCTATCATGGAGACAAGGCAAGGACTCCGGAATCCTGGAAAAGGCAGCATGGTTACTCTCATTCTTTTTTCAAGAGTGAAGTTTATGCTTTATTTATAGTTTCATTACAACACTTGCCCAATCAAATAATGGTAATACCTGAAATCATCTTTTCCAGCTAATAGAGAGATGAATGCTACTTCAGATCCATTTGCCTAACATATCCCCAGAACCACACATGTAAAATCAGATAAATGGTTGAGATACCAAACACAAGGATCAAAAGATGGATATCGAATGAATCTTTGTTCATGCGCATAGGCATCTCAAAGTATTGTTTAGTAATGTCAGCAAGTACTCTCAATTCAAAATTTGTGAAAAGTGAATTTCTGAGGTTCGAGAGAATATACCAGTGTAATCTGAGCATCATCTGAACTCATAGTTTTATCCATATTTGGCTTCAAATTCCATCTCAGAATTGACATTATGGAGCTTTCTTTCAGCAACTCCAAGTCTGGCAGCGATCTTCAAGGATTTAAACACTAACATTAATTATGACATGAGATAAAGAAACGAGTATCCTATGCAAAAACATTTATAGCAAAAGCATAAAAAAAGGATAGAATATCAATGTTTCACCTGATTTCGATAACACCAGTCTGAAAAAACAATACCAGTCCACAAACTTTTCCATCTTTCATGAAAGTTGTGGCCCAACAGCAAGGTTTAGCATGCTTTACTTTATGAATGGCTTTGTCATTCCCCTATTAGAAAGTATCTCAGCTAACTAAAGGTAGCATTGGAAAAACATTTGAAGTGAAACTATAGAAGACACATGATGAACCACCTGAATCACAGACTTTATGGAGTACAAGCGTGATGAATTTTCACAACAAAGCAAAATGAGTGCATCTAGCGATTGTTCCCCAGCACATGCAATTTCTGAAGAAGAGGGATGATGGGCCTCAGGTGGATCAGTTGCAACTGAAGAAGCCTCAGGCCTAGGCTCCTTCTGGGCAGTGGTATCCTTGCTGGGTTCCTCTGGGTGCTTTTCACTGGTCAATGCAGATAATGGGACATTGTTCTCTGAAGTTTGAAATATTATCAGGATTCTGCTTTGGTAAGTACAAACAATAATTAAATTCTTGAGCATCCAGATAATCAGTGTGCTTGCCTAAAACATAAATGGAGATTGCAGTATCTTGTTTTTTCAGGTGCCATGGATGGGAGCTGATCATACTACCGCTACAAGCATCAATACATCTAATTTTCGCATCTTTTGTTAAAATGAACATTATTTCTTCTTTGGTATTTTCTGGAAGTTTAGTTTCTGTATGCTTTGTGCTCTTCACAGAGTCATGAGCATTTGTACACTCTATTGAAGACATTGAAACCACAGGAGAACTAGTGCCCAACACAGAGTCCATGAAGAACAAAATTGATAACGAACTCATATCAAGCAATGCAACCTGAAGTAGAAGCTTCAAACGGTAAGAACTAGTTTTGTAATAAAGGAAAGATCAAACCACAACTTGACTAACTCATTAACAACACGAGCAGAATCCATTAAATAAAAATACGCACACGACCACATTCAAATCCAATGGCGAGCCTGGCTCCAGAATTTCCAAAGTGTAGGGTTTGAACTGGGGAATTAACAAGGGAAATAATAGCTCTGCACTGAGGTCCTTCTCCTTGAGGCAAACTGTGAACTGTAAGACAAGCAAATTTGAGAATAGAGGCTCTGAAAGGGTCTCATAAGTTGAAACTAACATATTCTGATAGTAAAGGGTCCATTTAACTGAATATTTTTGAGCTCTTTAAAATTGCTTAGACGGAACTTAGATGAGATAAAATACAAGAAGTCAACAATCAGATTAAAGAGCTTGAATCATTTATTACCCAGTTTGGCTGTCAATTCAAATGATGAAAGCACTATTGTGAACTCTTCCTCTCTAAGAAATCCTTCGAAAGAATTTTTTACTTAATCCATCAAAAGCATCATTTTCATACTACATATCCAGGGACCTTCTGTTTACATAAAGATGGCTAGCCTCTGAAACTTACCTTCAGAACTTGTTTCCGTGACAAAATGGCAATTTATTTTATGTGAGCTCCTATTGAGATCATAAACACGAACCTGCAATAGTCAGAATGATCATAACATAAAGCTTAAGTTCTATACAATCTTGACAAAAAATGAAAAAATGAAAAAATAAAAAAACTAAGATGCAATTCTGACCAGACCACATTCATTTCCAATGACCAAGCACAAAGTGAGGCAACAGAAGTTTAGAGTTGATACTGGAGCACTTGAACCAGCCACATTTATACCCTGCACCTGCAGTAGTAAAAAATTATTTGGTGCATAACATCTATTTCATTGCATTTAAAAAAATGGTAGTTTTGAAACTCACCTGTCCTTCTAGAAAACAAAGGGGTCGAAGGACAGGATATGAGGCATCCCAAATCCGAACAGATCCATCTCTATAACCCGCCATGTACACTATTTCAACACTTTTATCTTTGGTAACAGATAACTGACTCAGCACACCTCCAGTCAAGGGCCACTGCAAGCCACCAGAAAGTGCTGGCGTTGGGCCAAGTTTCATCACTGATGCCTGCTAAACATACAGAATGATCACATTCTTCAAAAAAAAAAAAAAAAAAATGATCACATTCTTCAAAAAAAAAAAAAAAAACCTTTAAAGGACTCACTGATATCAAACAATAAATACATGCACAATGGAAATGCAATACCTCTGACACACCTTTTGATGAATTTCCACCTGAGGGTAACATGCAGAATTTTGCCACAGTCATCAATGGCTCAGATGTAGGTATTACCATGGGAAAATCTGCTGGGCAAACAGATGGTTTCCTCTCTTGCTGAGTCAGCCAATTAGACAAATTAGCACCATCATAGAGATGCAGTTGTCCAGGGCTTGTTAACACAAAAAGATCTGCTCTGTGATTGCTGCCTGTTGCCCCAGCACTTGGTAACAAAATCATGTCAGCGAAAGAGCCAACAAGAGTAAGATCCACACGACCAACACATCTTAATGTCTCCATCCCATTAGACCATTCAAGACTTAAGACCTATTACACATTGAGATAGGATTAATGGTTGATAAAAATTTTAATGAAGACTAAGGAAATTAGAAATTCTACAAGAATCTAATAATAAATACCATTTTATTTCTGAACTTGTCATTATAGTCCCTTAGTAGATGGGATCAATCCTTAACAGCATATGGAGACGCTAATGAATACTAATATAGACCATTTTATACTCTTCCAAAATGTATATTTTACGAACTCAATTGGTTTAACTTTATTAAAACAGATCCACCTTAGATTATTCAAGTGCATAAAATTTCAACATGAAAGAATCTTGGGTATCAATGAATGAACAACTAACCGTTAGAACTTCCTCAGATCCTATTTCGTCACCACCATAGATAAAAAGTCGCCCATCAGAATTATTGGGTGATCTATCATTTGCAGACCAGTGTAAGACAATTACAGGAAGTCTCCTGTCAGCAGATGACAGTTGTAGCTTAACAACATTTTTTCCCTGCCCAGTTTGTTTACCACTAGAAGTGGCAACACTTGATGTATTCCAAAATAAAATATCCCCATCTAGGTATCCCACCGCAAGAATAGATCCATCCAAAGATGCCCAACAAAGAGCACTTATCTCCTTATCCTGAAGATTGTGCTCATATGTATCATCTGGGGAATCAATGTCCACAGCATCCTTTAGTTGAAGATCCTTACTACCTCCAACAAAAAGAATTTGAGCTTCAGAAGTATCCCAAAGAAGTATCAACCCATTCGCATATGCAATTATCACTCTGCAAAAGAAATGTAACTCTTTCAAGCACTGAGGAGAAACTAGAAAACGTATAGGGCATTTCTTATAACCTCATGCTATAAGGTGATAGCCTCAGTGGTAAATTTCATGTCCTTAAGAGATGACATCGGACATCCTGAACTGGATCAAAGATTATGTCCAACTTTAAGGCTTTACATGTTACTTTGAGAATAATCCTGCTCAAACTCTTGTAACATAAGCTATTCTAGAAAGAGTTGACTAGGTAGGAAACAGTTTTCTAAAAGTGATAAAAACTAGCTCAATTTGTAAACCTCTATGCAGCAAAGAGCAAGCAGATTTATTCGGGAAATTCCAAAGCATAACATGCATGATTTTGTAAATGACTTTCAAATAATCTTAAAAAACAAAGATATTATGACCCAAGCAAATCAACTGGGGCCTAGAAATTCAACCGGTTTGACAATTTTTCAAAACAGTATTAAAGCCTCAGCTCTTCCAATTCCAAAAGAAAGACAGTCAGATTGAGGCATGATTTGAGCTATTGAGCAATTAATCTTGCCTATTTCCAGAGGAACGAGGTTGCGGAAGAATTCCAACCACAGGTTGGTGATTGTGAAACGAAAATCCAGCCAGTTCTGTGAAACAGCAGAAAATAGTTGAATGACATTGACATCGATATCAAAGGAATCCAAAGAAGCAAAATATTTGACAACTAAGTTGAATGTATGTTAACTTCAGTGAAGAAAAAAAGAAAGAAAAAAGGAAAAAAAAAATGGAAATCATTCAGTGGTCAATAAACTGTAAGAAAAGGTACCACTTAATGAATCTGCAGATAAATTATATGGAAACTGCAAAAGTTTTCCATCTTCAGTATCGACCTTCAACACTGATGTTAACCCAAACTCATCTCCAACATACCTGTTTGAAGAAGATTGAACAGAAATGTTATATAGCATTCAAAAAATAGAGACTTGTGTGGCTAGACAATTAACAGCTGTCTTTTAAAAAAAGAAACAAAAAACAAAAAGTAAAAAGTTTTAGATTTTGTAATCTCATACATAAATTTGGAGCCACTAATTACAGAGAAAGCCGTGATATTGGATTCCCATTGTAAAGAACATGCAAGGCACCTGGTCTCCAGATTCCAAACCTTCCAAAATGGAGAAAAAATTTAAGCATATAAACATAAAATGCCTTAGTAGCTAATGCAGCAGATGAAAAACAAATACCTGGATATCATTGTCATTTGAGATGCTGACTATAAAACCATGGTTTTGTATGAACTGCCACGCAACACTAAAGTATTAGTCTCCAACTAAAAACATATATCCAACCCAAGACGAACACTGGATAAGTGGATATAATTAATTCTTTCCCCAATTAACCAAGCCACATCTCACAGTCTTATATTAATATACAAATAAGATCAATACAGGGACGATGATGTGTTTCTACCATACATTGTCAATCAAATCTCTCCCATTAGGTAATCAGTTCATCCTGAAAATAAAAGAATCAATTTTTGTGAGCTAAATTTACATACCTCTAAATATTTATAAGGCAACTGCTTTGGAGATATGAAAAGCCCTTCAATACCATCACCGCCAATAACCTTAATCCTCCCATCCCTGCAATAAAAATTGGAACCGAAGACACAAATTAAAGAAGTAATAAAACATTTAACGAAGCTGACGATCTTTAAAGAAGGATTAGCACTGTTAATTAACCATTTCCAACTTCATCAAGAAGAAATTCTACTTCTCACTCACAATGTCCCGATAGCCAAGAGGCGCTGAACGGAGTCAAAAGCGAGGGTCGATGAAGTAGTTGGAATTCCATAGTGGATTGAAATCCGCAAATCCAAGTCTTCCGATTTCAAACCGCGATGCTTC